GGGAAAAGCCAGCAGGAGGCTCTGGGCTTCTGACAGCTAGCAGCTGGTATGCCTTCGTCTGCTGCCCAGGGCAGGCCTCCATGCTCTGAGGAGCTTCACCATAAAGACCCCTTGGCACTCTCGTGACTCTGCTGGGTGACTGCTCTCCAGACTCAGCACACCGGCGCCGCAGTGCAGAACTCTCCCAGAGAAACCTGTGGGATTCCGATACGGGTGACACCGCCCAGCTGGAGACGGGCGCTGTCAACTGGGATGGCCTAGAATCCCATCCTGCCAGTAGTTTTACCTGGTGTCCAAAATCTACTGACACGGCCCTGGCAGCCCCGCTGACAGAGGGAAGCTGTGTTTGTTGTCAACGCAGGAAACATGAGGCTGAGTATTTGGGCCCTCAGATACCCAAACTGGGACGGAAAGAAGAGCTCTTGGCCACTGCTCTTCAGCAGCACATGGGCACTCGTGAGGTGGCTCCTCGGCCATGAGCTTTGGGCTGGGTGCCCACTGCATGGAGCAGCAAGCTGGGCTGTGAGGGACGCACCATAGACCATCACCCCCACTGCCCCCAGGACCCGTGAAGCTTCGGGCCACACCAATGCCCAGAGACCTACACCGAGAGGACCTGCAGCCAAGGCTGGGGCTGCTGCTCCCTCTGCTGGCTCCACTTCCAGATCTCGGCACCCCTGCATGGCCGCAAGCTGGCTGTGAGTGTGGACGGACGCCGACCCTGAGCCTCAGTACCCGCCACATGAGTACACCACCTCCCAGCGTTGTCAAGAGCCACAGTACAGGAAGACTACGGACCACTCTGTGAGTGTATACTGATCACCATCTCAAAATGGGGTCTTGGTCCTGGGAAACAGAACCCTGATGGGCTTCTGTAACAGGTAACAGAGGAGCACGTGAGTCACCAGGTCAATGCGTTAGAACAAACTGCTTTGTTCACAGTGAAAGCGCATCACACGGCAGTCCTAGTACGACAACTGCACCTCGCACCTCGCCGTGCCACATCGCCAGATGAAACACAGGAAACGACACTTGAAGACAGAAAATCAACATCTGAGTCAAAATCAAGTCTCCCTTGCTGAAAACTGTGAAAAACAATCTACCAGTTTCTTTGCATCAGAGAAAATGAGCCACTGAAAGCAGAGCTCTGCCCACAGTGAGAGAACTAAGAAGTCAGCTTACAGAGCCCGGCACTTGATCTCGTTTCTGTACTCATTTCTCAGGCAGGGCCTTGCTGCTGCAATCCTCCCCTTCACCTCCCAGCTGGAGCTCCAGGCCAGCACCGCCTCGCTCAGCTCATTTTCAGACGGGTCTCACTATTGCCCAGGTCAGTCTCATGCTCAGGGTCCTCCTACCTCTGCCTCCCGAGTCGCTGGGATGACAGGCACACCCCACTGTACTGGGCCCTTACATAGGACCAGCCACCAAGTCTGTGTCTCCACAGGGCCTGCGTCATGAGTCCCAGAGGGTCCCCTCCCACACAAATCAAAAGAACCACCTGGCCTTAAAACAGCATCCTTACCACGACGACCCTATCAGCTGACAGAGCTGAATTCCGGTCACTGTTAAGAGTGGAGAAATCCCCGGGTGCACCATCACAGAAGGCCAGCTGGCAGATATGTGGATGTAATTATCGGTTTATTATAAAATCAGGACCAGTGTGCTGACTACTTTTCAAGGTACATAGCAACATGGGCTTGCAACACTCTAGCACGTAGGATGTCCATGCGTGCACTACTCACGTCTGTGGGTCTAGGGGTGAAAAGCAAAGTTACCTCAACAAGACACCCCCAAACGCACCCTGTGGCCAGTAGAGGAAAGCTGGGCCATCCAATCTGTGGCATAAGTATTCACAGAAGAACCCAGCGGGGTCCAGTTGGAGTCACTGCAATGAGGATGCTTTGCCTATACACTCGAAAATCAAAAATCCTGGCACGGTGGGAGGTCAAGCTGCACCAGGCTAGAGGGCTTCACAAGCCGGATGCACCCAGGGACTGAGAGGGACCAGGGGTTGTCACCACCAACTCTGAGAACCCAGTCCAAAGTCTTGGCTCATAGCGCCCACCGGCAGGATCCGCGCACTCACACAGTGCCCCACCTCCCGTGCCCACCCCCAGGAAAGAGATCACCCGCTTTACAGTGAACACACTGATGCCAGCAGGAAAGTCAGCACGACAGCGCGGGACAGCACTTCTCTGCTCTGCCCAGCCCTGAGCCCTGCTGAAAGTGCATGAGGTTTCCTAAGGCCCAGAGCACTACCGTACTTAGAAAGATGTTTTACCCCAAGAAAAAGTGGCTTTACATGAAGTTCTCTTCCCCGTGGTAGGTACTGATTTACGCTTCCCTCTGCCAGGTGAGAGGAACTGCGCGGGGGCCCACACGTCCGCAGGGTGGCCACAGCTGTTTCTACCACAGCTCTGAGGACGACAGGGGCGCCGCGTGGAGCTGGCCAGGACCAGGTGCGGTGTCGCGTGTGACCGCTCCCAGCGTGACTCAGGGCCGGCTACTGCGCAGCTACACAGCCTGGAGGCGGAGTCTGCAGAGGAAGGGGGACCGGAACGAGCCCAGGTACAGGTGCCCGTCCTGCTCGTGCGCCTCGCTGACGTAGGCGGCCACTTGCCCGTCGGGGTCATGCAGGCTTCTCCGGAAGGCCCCGCTGTCGCTGAGCTCCAGAACGAGGCTGTACCGTGGCACAAACTTCATCACCATCTCCTGACTGAACAGCTGCGGGGAAGCAGAGCAGGAGAAGTTTACCTTCGGGACCACAGTGACAGTGAGCAGAGACTCAGGCTCACCACCGAGGGGCAGGGGTGACCCAGCTCCTCCCCAAGAGGGCAAGAGGAGCCCAGAGCCCTTCAGCACAGCAGGCCTCAGCAGCCCACGAGCCCCTGCCCCATCCCCCCAGGTCAGGCGACAGAGGCCAATCCAGCGCACACACAGCAGCCCCTGTGGACAGGCTGGCTGAGCATGGAGAAACGCAAACCCACCCGAGGAAGCAGGACTCTTAACGCCGAGGCCAAGGCCCAGTACAATGCCCCTCCAGCACGCTGGGCCCAACCAGCACAGCCAGGCTGCTAACGAGCCTGTCAACAGTGCTGGGGGTGGACGACGCGGATGTGCGTGCAGTTCACACTGAGAAAAGCAGCCTGTGAAGGTCAAGTGCCGGGGCCACACACCACGTGGCTTCCAGACAGGCTGGTCCATGGCTTTCCTCGCAGCTCAGTGCAGTGCACACGCGGGGCGACCCGGGCCGGGGCGCAGACTGGACTGCACCATCACGGGCTGCAGACCATCCTGACCAGGAAACCAGGTGGCCAGAACTCGGGTCCTGCCAGGGCGCAAGGGCACTGGGAGACAGGGCAGAGCACTCCACACTCAGGCCGATGGAGGCAGGCTTCTGCCTCTGAATACGAACGACAGCAGTGCCCGAGAGACCCCGTGTCCCTGGCGCTGGACATGTTCACACAGCTGAGCTGACTACTCTGAAGGCGCAGCCGCGCGGAGGCAACCTCACCAGAAAACCCTGCGCCCTCTCCTGTGTTCAGTGGGGACCCTGCCCTCGCCAGCTGAGCCCTAATTCTCATCTTCTCGCATCACTTCTGCCACCCTCCCAGAGGCCCTCCTGTCTCCACTTCCATTTCCCGTACCCCCAACACCCAGGGCTAGGTCCCTTGCTGTTGGGACCCATCTCTACCTGGACCTAGCTTCATTTTAATTGCTAGAGGCCGTGAACACGCACACCTGCATGGGCGTGGTCACTGCAGGTCCCTTCCCTCTGCCTCCCATCCTGCTAGGACTTGGGGCCTCACGCACAGACACCCAGTGTGTTTTAAAGCCACGGACCAGGACTGTGGTCAGGCACGTGGGATCCACTCACTGTCACAGGGCCTAACCACTGCGCATGGGACCGGCTTCCACCTGAAGGTGCTTTCTAACCACACTGCAAATCCAGCCAACTCCCCAGCTCGAGACATAGGCTCTTCACCCAGACACTGAACCAGGATCTGGGCCCTCCCTCATCATCTCCCTGTGGCCTCCAAGCTCAGCCCCCACACCCCTCACATCACCACTTGGATTCCCACACTGTCACCTGCAGGGTGTATGCGACCCCACCCTCACCAGGCCCCAGCCAGTCGAGCTGTGTCACAGGCTTCCCCATGGGGCAGCTGCAGTGAGCTTTATAACACTCTTTATACACACCATGGTCCTCCTGACCCATCAATCAGCCACTGTGGGGCTGGGCAAGGACGGGGGTCACACCAGGCTGTCAGAGCCCACACAGGGTGAGGGAGGTACTCACGCAGGAACAGCGGGTACAGGGTCTCAGAGCCCCTGAGGACAAGGGCAAAGCCCGGCCCTGCATGTGGTGAGGGAAGGGGGCAGCCCACCATGGTGCTGGGCCCCTAGCAGGTGCCATGTGAGCATGACCATAGCTTCATTGCTGGGGGACTGATTTAGTAGGTTCACATAAAAGATAAGGGAATAGCTTCATAGCCTAAAAGGAGCTGGCTTCCACATGGCCAACCACGGTTCAAATCCCAGCCCCAGTGGCTTAAAAAACATACCAGAAGTTTGTGCACACACACCCCAAATTCTGATAGGATGAAGAAATGGAGACGAGACAGCCCTGTGACCATGCCCCCTTGAGGGGTGCTTTTTTTCTCTCCCTCTCTGTCTGCCTGGCTCTCTGGAGAGCATGTGCACCCTCAGACAATTAAAAATCTTTAAGAAAAAGGAGTAATGGGGTCCGGTGTTAGAGAAGGGAGGTACGAGCATAAGGACAAAGAAAGGACAAAACAAGAACCTGCCAGTAGAGCTGGCTGGGGCTGGAGATGCCAGCACACACTCACGGGTCGGTCCTGAGGCCAGCAGATGAAGGGTGGTGTACGCACGCGTGTGTATTCCCCAGATGGAGGGAGGTGTACGCACGCGTGTGTATCCCCCAGCCGGAGGGAGGTGTATGCACGCGCGTGTATCCCCCAGCCGGAGGGAGGTGTATGCACGCGCGTGTATCCCCCAGCCGGAGGGAGGTGTGCGCAACAGGGGGTATCCCCCAGACGGAGGGAGGTGTATGCACGCGTGTGTGTATTCCCCAGATGGAGGGAGGTGTATGCACGCGTGTGTATACCCCAGCCGGAGGGAGGTGTACGCATGCGTGTGTATCGGGGTGTATGCACGCGTGTGTTTCCCCCAGCCGAAGGGAGGTGTACGCACGCGTGTGTATACCCCAGCCGGAGGGAGGTGTACGCACGCGTGTGTATCCCCCAGCCGGAGGGAGGTGTACGCACATGTGTGTGTTTTCCCCAGCTTGTCCCTGGAGGGCGTCTGGGGCAGTGAGTACACTTAGGGCCCAGGTCTCTCCACGGTACCCTGGAGAACTGCCCAGTCCCAACGCTGGGCAGGGAAAATACCAGATGAGCCAGAGAAAGGACTAATCCGAGAACGACAGTGACGTGTCCAAGAGCCCAGAGGTTCCCGCTGGCCATGGCTGGATGATCTGATGCTCAAAATACCTGGTGACAGCAACACCATGGCCATCAGCACAGGGGGAACCCCAGAATGCACTGACGCTACTTAGCACCTCCCACAGGAGCCTCATGAACTGCAGAGAGCGGCCTCGCCACGTGGTGCCAGGCAGCCCCTCCACCGCCAGCAGCCCCTCCACCTCCAGGCAGCTGTGCTGAGACCATGGCACCTCTGTGCTGCTCCCGGCGGCCACCGAGAGCCTGATCAGAATGAACCCAGACAAACCCATGGACAGAGACACTGTAACACACCAACCCGTGACCTCCCAAAGGACCAAAGTCAAAAATCAAGACAGGAGGTGATCTAATGAGGCAGAGCACAGCACAGAGACCACCGAACAGCAGGCCCGACCAGGGATGAACCCTCTGTCTACAGAACAGCAAGGGGAAGCCTGCCAGACTAGGACGGGTCTATGCAGCAGCCGGCCACACCCGTCCACGTGGACTCCTGGCTCTGCTCGGCCCTCACTGTCAGACACACGGTATGTGCAACAGGAGGGTCTCAGGCAGGGCACTTGCTGTGAGCAGTTCAGGGAAACAAGTCCTCCCCAGCCTCCGCTACCTTTCTATCTCAAAACTTAACAACAAAAATCCACGTTGATGGCTTGGGCCATTCTGAACAGTCTGACCTCGAGTCTGGAGGCCAGATCCCTGCCTCTCCCTCCCACTCCGCTCCTAGCCACAGAAAGGCACTTGCGGCCGGCTGTCTGGGGCCCGGCCACCCAGGCTCTCATGTCGGCCTCCTCCCAGGGCACAGCCACTTGGGCTCTCAGATCCCCAGAGCACGCCCACCACCCAGGACAGCCGGCCGCCTCAAACTCCCACTCGCAATCCTGACTCTAACCACCTGCTTGTTCAGCAGCTCCGCCCAGTGCCCCATGTGCACAGCTCAGAGGAACAACATGGAGCTACTCCTGAGGACACAGACGACAGAGCTGTGGGGACACAGACCTCCCCCACCAACAGAGGGCAGGTGTGAACGTGCCCTTGAAGAACGGACCACTCGGACAGGGCGAAGAGCAGCATGTGCACCTGCCGATAACGCTCCATGGTACCTACCAACACGCCACTATCCCTCCCACTCCACAGATGGAGTAACTGAGGCCAAGACCGAGTCTCTGCCTGGGTCCCCTGGCTGGTCCGGCTTCCTCCGAGACCCCTCTCCTAGCCCACCCCACCATTCGGCTCCCTCCTAGGTCCCAGCAGGAACAGACGCCATCTCCAGAGCCAGTAAGGCAAGGAGTGGGAAACTTCTGAACAGACCAGGACTGTCCACATGGTGACTCCTGGCCCCGCGTCGCTGAAGGCCTCAGGCCGGTCTGTCTGAGAACATGCCTGAGGCCACAGGGATAGGCCCGAGCACACAGTCCAGTAGCGGCTGCCACCTCCAGGACCTGAACTTATGCTCAAATATGCACTATCGACTTCGAACATCCTTCAGCCTGTGAGAGCGAGCTTCCCAGGAGAGATTTCTCATCTCCCTCAACGCCGGCACCTCGTCTAAATGTGTGTGTGGGCGTGTAGGTCAGGGTGTCGTGTCCCCTGGGCAGTGACGACAGGGACACTCAGAGCTGTGCTCAGGGCGGTGGCAGACCACTGCTGGGCTGCCGGTTTCTTCTGAAGGGGAAGAGACGTGTCAGGAGGTCAGAGGCAGAATCCTCTGGAGAAGGTGAGGGACAGTGAGGGCCTGAGGAGCGGGGCACAGGCGGGTGGAGGCTGGCGTGAGCGGGCGTACCCGTGTGGCCACAGGAGGGGAGGACAGTGCCGCCTGCACCACTTTCTCCTCCAAGGAGGGATCTGTAGGGGTTGAGGAGGTCTGGAACGGCCGTGGCAGAGGGAGAACCGGCTGCTGATCAGCAGGAGAAGTCTCGGAGTCGTGGTGGGAGGGACACAGTAACAGCACCCGGACGGGGAATCCAGAAGGAAATCGGAGGGCTCAACTGTTTAAACACACACGTCAAGACGAGGGATAACATGTGCTGTTAATAGTCGTTGAAAGTATCGAACATCGTAAGCAGATCTAGAATCGGCTTCTTTTTAGGGCTATTAAGAGTGAAAAAGTAAAAAAGGATTCATTCTCATTTTGTTTTTGGAATGATTTGTTTTTTTGGAATAATGGTTTTTATAGTTACCTTAAAAATCATCTTCTTAACACCAGGCTTCTCAGATAAGAAATCCAACATGGAGAACCCAGGGTTGGGGCGAATGGCCGCCATGCCGACCCAGTACCCGCCGGAGCTGCTGGGCCGGATGTTGTCTGGAAATCCAGGCAGATTCTCCACAAACAGGTCGGCCCCTCCCTTCATCAGGCCAGACACGTAGACTCTGAAAAACCACCCGAGCAGGAGCCCAATTTCAGGGGTACGTTCTAACCAAGCTCCCAGTCAGACCTGGCCCATCAACAAGGGCCCAGCTGCCCAGAGCCTGGCCCAGCGTGAACAGAGGAGAAGGGCAGCAGGGTGGGGGACCCAGCTGTGCAGGAGGCAGGTGGTCAGGAAGCCGCCCAGGTACAGCTCTCTAGTGGGCTGTGGGGGACCCGCCTTCAAGCTTCACTCCCTCATCAGTGCCCACAGCAGTGGCACCCTGCTGCACCACGGCCACCCCTGGCCACCATGAGCTCTGGCCAACAACTGACCACTCAGTGAACACCACACGCACCTTCGAATCCTGGCCATGGTCGTTTCTGCCACTAGGACGAAGTCCTCCGCGGGAGAGAGCTGGACCCCGTTAGGGAAGCGCAACTGGTCCAGTAAGACTTTCACCTCCTTGGTCGCGGTGTCATACTCCAGCAGGCTGCGGGACGGCAGGGGTAGGAGTCACGGGGAGCCCCCCGAGGTTGTCGGCCTACGGAAGGTGACTGAGCTCACACTGTGGAACCAGCCTGGGTCCTTGGCTCAGATACGGTTCCCAGCTGGCCCCTGCCTTCTGCTTCCAGAGCAGGGCCCAGCGCCCGTCTCCAGATATTCCCATACTCACTCTCTTAGTGGCCCAGGATCAGAGTCAGCACTAGGGAGGGCCTAAGCTCCAGCTTCATGGCAGTCCCTCTCCAGGGCGACCTGGAGCTCAGGCTATCTGCGGGTCTACCTAGAACTACCCCTCAGGTAGACTGGCTGTTTTACTTTATTTCCTCACAGAGAAAGGAAGGGGCCAGCCCCACAGCAGAGCAGTTACACGCTGGGCAGCAGAAGCGGATCCCACATGTTGACTAGGGTTCAAGTCCTGGCCCCACAACCTGTAAAACAGGCCAAGCATGTGCACACCCAGAATCGTAATGGTGGAAAAAGGACTGCAGTGTGACCAGGCCGTGCTGTAGGGGCGCTTTCTCTCTCTCACTCTTCCTTACTCTGCCCCACTCCTTACTCCACACATATGCCCTCTGGCATTAAAAGAAAGAAAAAGAGAGAGAGAGAAAGCAAGAACATCTTCCCTGTGTAACTTCCCTCACCTGTTTCCAGGCACCACTAGGGACCTAGGCTCAAAGCTGAAATATGTTCAGAAACACGCCCCGGTTCTGGAAAGAAAGCCACTGCTGACATCGCTGGGTGGGCTGACCTGAGGGAGCCCTGAGGCGAGCACTTACCGGCCGTCATCAGTGCCCTCCATGATCAGAAGCAGATAGTCTCGCCTTTGCCATCTGCTGCTAGAATCTGTGAAATAAATCTTCCTCCCGTCTCGAGTGATGGTAAGATCGTTCACAAAGGACAGCTTCTTCCCTTCAATGGGTGTGTCGGAGGACAGCAGCAGTTTTACCTCACCTGAAGGTAGAAAAAGAAAGACGAGATTTGCTTTCATTCTAAGAACCCGTTTCCCAATAAAATGTTAAGCAGTCTAATTTAAAAGGAAAAAATGAACGTAAGTTTCTCCATTATTGTATGTTAAAAGATTAAATCTGTCTAACAGTAAAAAAACAGCATATTAACTGTTAGTCCCCCCCCCCCC